CAGCTCCTGGCTCTGGTCCCCGCCCCTCAGGGTCTCCCACCCCTAGCCTCTAACTGGGAACCTCTAACTAGTGCAGCTGCCTGAGGTCAGTCTGCACCGGGCACTCTGGGATGTGTTTTCCCAAGTAAGCGAGGGACTGAAGTGCAATCCAAGTGGGAAGCCAGGGCAAAGACAGTCATCGTGGGGTGACATTCACCTTTATTGCTTCTTTAGCAAGCAAACTTGGGTTTGGGCCAAGAGAGGCTCACTAGGTGTGTGCCTCTGGAGGCTGTTGGGGGGGCTCTTTCTCTCTGTGCCTGGCCGACTGCTCAGCGGTCAAGCCCCGGGTCTCTGAATACCGAGGCTTTGACAGTGCCTCCTCCTCGGGTGTCGTCTCAGGTTGTGCCTCGGGCTGTGCCTCTTCCTGAGGCTCCAGCTTGGTGGCAGACTTCTTGTAAGAGTCGGGCTCAGGGCTCCCGGAGGACTCTGTGATGCGGGAGCTCTCCCCCTCTTTGTGGGGGATGGCTTCAGAGGACAGGTCCCGTGCCTTGGGCTGCAGCCACGAGTGGCTGAGGATCTCGTCAATGTGCAGCCACAGGTCGACGTCGGGCTGGAGCATGCGTTCGATGAGGTCCTTGCAGGCCCGTCAGGTTCTTGGAGCGCGGGAAGTGGACGCGGCGCTCCTTCTGGATGCGCAGCATCTTCCTGATGTCGGAGTCATCGTAGGGCATGGAGCCACAGACCATTACATAGAGGAATACCCCCGGGCTCCAGATGTCGTACGCCTTGGGCTGGTAGGGGATGCCCTGCAGCACCTCGGGGGCCACGTACGCCGGCGACCCGCAGAAGGTCTTGCTCAGGATGACGCAGCCAGTGTCCTCCCGCAGGCAGCGTGTGGAGAAGCTAAAGTCGGACAGCTTGATGTTGAAGTCCTTGTCGAGGAGAGCGTTCTCGCACTTCAGGTGGCGGTGGACGACATCCATGTCGTGGCAGTACTTTATGGCCGAGGAGAGCTGGTGGAACTTCTTTCGAGCATTGTCCTCGTGCAGGGCTCCCCGGGTTTTGATGAACTCGAGGAGGTCGCCCTGGGCCCCGAGCTCCATGACGATGTAGACCTTGCCATCTGATGTCTGGAAGATCCCGTAGGTCTTGACGATGAAGGGGTGGTTTAGCATGGTCAGAATTTCAGTTTCCCGGGGAAGGAATTTCTCCAAGAAGTCCGTGGGGGCTTTCGTGTGGTCGATCATCTCGACCGTTATGTTGAACTTCAGGTGCTGAGAGTAAGCAGATTTGGCTTTTGCGTAGGAGCCCTCTCCCAAATTTACACCCACCCCCAGCGTCCTCACGTGACTCCGGGCCGCGCCCACCCCGGTGCAGCCCCCAAACCGGCGGCCCGAGAACTCACCAGGCGTCTCCACAGCAACCGCCCTTCAGCCCTGACCCTGGTGCCCGCCGGCCGGCTGCGTGCCTGACAAGGCGCTCTCCCATTGGCTCCGACCCCGGCTCTGCCAGCCAATCATTGCGGGTCCACTCGCAGCTCGCTCGCCGGCTGTGTGTTTTCGCTTCCGCCCTGCGGGCGGCGCCCCTCCGAGCGGGCCAATGTGCGTCTGGGAAACGCCGGGCGGTGGCTTGTGGGTACCGGAGCCTGGCTGTGATTGCGCCACCGCACTCCAGCCTGGATGACAGAGTGAGACCCCCATCTCTAAAAAAATAAAATATAAATAAATAAAAGTTCACTGTGAATGGTTTCCATTGCTTTCTAACAGCCATTCTGCCCTAGCCTGATCACTGCCTGGGAGGATGACAGTCTCCTCCGCGATGGAGGGAGGGGATATTGAGCAGGCCGACCCCCGCTGACATTCTCTGCAGAACAGGGACAGCTAACTTCTGAGAGAGCTCTGGAACTGTCCTTATTATTCCCCATAAAATGCA